GTTTTTGCAATATATCAGCCGTTTCTGGGCCGATTTAGCTGAAACTTGGACTGTCGGTGATAGGGTAGGGTAGGGTATTGTAGGTTAGGGTAGTTTAGGGGTAGGGTAGGGTAGGGTAGGGTAGGGTAGGGTAGGGTAGGGGATTGTAGGGTAGGGTAGGGTAGAGTAGGGTAGGGTAGGGTAGTGTAGGGGTAGGGTAGGGTAGGGTAGGGTATGGTAGGGGATTATAGGGTAGGGTAGGGTAGGGTAGGGTAGGGTAGGGTAGTGTAGGGTAGGGTAGGGGATTGTAGGGTAGGGTAGAGTAGGGTAGGGTAGGGTAGTGTAGGGGTAGGGTAGGGTAGGGGTAGGGTAAGGTAGGGTAGGGTAGGTTAGGGGTAGGGTAGGGTAGGGTAGGGTAGGGTAGGGGTAGGGTAGGGTAGGGTAGGTTAGGGTAGTGTAGGGGTAGGGTAAGGTAGGGTAGGGTAGGGTACGGTAGGGTAGGGTAGGGTAGGGGGTAGGGGTAGGGGTAGGGTAGAGTAAGGTAGGGTAGTGTAGGGGTAGGGTAGGGTAGGTTAGTGTAGGAGTAGGGTAGAGTAGGGTAGGGTAGGGTAGGGTAGGTTAGTGTAGGAGTAGGGTATGTAGGGTGGGTAGGGTAGGGTAGGGGTAGGAGTAGGAGTAGGGTAGGGTAGAGTAGGGTAGGGTAGGGTAGGGTAGGGTAGGGTAGGGTAGGGTTGAATTGAGTAACATCCTAACTTACATAGGGCTCGAACAACTCGCATGCATCACCATCATACTTAACAGTTCAATTAAAAGCAGTTACCCAGTTCTACACAAATAATACCAATTAAAATGCAAGTTTCTACACCCAAACTAATGCATCCGTTAATCATACATATCAAAACATACAGTTATCGCGTAAACCTGTACCTCTAGTCTACTATTATAAATCTTAAAAAGTCCGCCGCCGCCGCCGTCGGGGTTACGCAGTCGGTGTTACTCCCAAAAACGCTTATTGCGGCGCCGTCGATTGACGCAGGAGGGTGAAATTTTCACGACTCGTGGGTCACGTAATTCAACAGGTCGTATTAAATTTTGGGCACGATGCGGCCGAGGGTGCGCCCGTGGCGCGTGCTCATGTGCGCCATAGGGTTAGCATTAGAATCGGCAAAAACAGGCTATTGCTCGGAAACGGTAAGGGCTACGGGGGTGAAATTTTCACGCCAAGTCAAGCGCGTACACTCATTTGCCGTATTAAATTTTCGAGGGTGTGGGTTCGGCGGTGTGCACGTGGTGGGGCCGCGACCGGCGCCGAGCAAAAGGCTCGTGCTTTAGGCTCAGTTGTTCGCTTAAAAACTGACTGGAAATAATCAGAGCCGGGAGGTCGTTGACCTTTGGCAATGAATACCGACGCCGGGCACCGCTCGCCAAGAGGATTCGCCAGTAAATACAATTAATTTGTTTTTGCAATATCTCAGCCGTTTCTGGGCCGATTTAGCTGAAACTTGGACTGTCGGTGGTAGTGTAAGGTACTGGTAGGGTAGTGTATGGTAGGGTAGTGTATGGTAGGGTAGGGTAGGGTAGGGTAGGGTAGGGTAGTGTAAGGGTAGGGTAGGGTAGGGTAGGGTAGGGTAGTGTAGGGTAGTGTAGGGTAGGGTAGGGTAGGGTAGGGTAGGTTAGGGTAGTGTAGGGTAGAGTTCGGTAGGGTAGGGTAGGGTAGGGTAGGGTAGGGTAGGGTAGGGACTAGGGTAGGGTAGGGACTAGGGTAGGGTAGGGTAGGGTAGAGTTAGGTAGGGTAGAGTTAGGTAGGGTAGGGTAGGGTAGGTAGGGTAGGTAGGGTAGGGTAGGGTAGGGTAGGGGTAGGGGAAGGGGTAGGGTAGGGTAGGGTAGGGTAGGGTAGGGTAGGGAAGGGTAGGGTAGTGTAGGAGTAGGGTAGGGTAGGGTAGGGTAGGGTAGGGTAGTGTAGGGGTAGGGTAGGGTAGGGTAGGGTAGTGTAGGGGTAGGGTAGGGTAGGGTAGGGTAGGGTAGGGTAGTGTAAGGGTAGGGTAGGATAGGGTAGGGTAGGGTAGGGTAGGGTAGGGTAGGGAGTAGGGAGTAGGGTAGGGTAGGGTAGGGTAGGGTAGGGTAGTAGGGTAGGGTAGGGTAAGGTAGGGTAGTAGGGTAGGGAAGGGTAGGGTAGGGGTAGGGTAGGGGTAGGGTTGTGTTCAAAAAGGGCCCAACATACAAAACACTTGAACACTCCGCAACTATCACCATCCCTTACAGTGCAATTAAAAACAGCTACCCAAGTACAGCTAAAAATACAAGTCAATCACCCAAACGAATGCACCCGTAACATAACATAACTCAAAACATACAGTTATCGCGTAAACCTGTACCTCTAGTCTACTATTATAAATCTTAAAAAGTCCGCCGCCGCCCACGCCCACGCCGCCGTCGGGGTTACTCCCAAAAAGGCTAGGCGGCGCCGTCGATTGACGCAGGACGGTGAAATTTTTACCAGTCGTGGGTCACGTAAAAAAACAGGTCGTATCAAATTTTGGGCACGATGCGGCCGAGGGTGCGCCCGTGGCGCGTGCTCATGTGCGCCATAGGGTTAGCATTAGAATCGGCAAAAACAGGCTATTGCTCGGAAACGGTAAGTGCTACGGGCGTGAAATTTTCGCTGTAAGTCGATCGCGTGCACTCATTTGTCGTATTAAATTCTTGAGGGGGTGGGTTCAGCGGTCTGCACGTGATGGGGCCGCGACCGGCGCCGAGCAGAGGGCACGTGCTTTAGGCTCAGGTGTTCGCTTAAAAACTGACTGGAAATAATCAGAGCCGGAAGGTCATTGACCTTTGACAACGAATACCGGCGCCGGGCACCCCTCGCCAAGGGATTCGCCAGTAAATACGATAAATTTGTTTTTGCAATATATCAGCCGTTTCTGGGCCGATTTGGCTGAAACTTGGATTGTCGGTGGCAGTGTATAGGGTAGGGTAGGGTAGGGTAGGGTAGGGTAGGGCAGGGTAGGGTAGGGTAGGGGATTGTAGGGTAGGGTAGGGTAGGGTAGGGGATTGTAGGGTAGGGTAGGGTAGAGTAGGGTAGGGTAGGGTAGGGGGTAGGGTAGGGTAGGGTAGGGTAGTGTAGGGGTAGGGTAGGGTAGGGTAGGGTAGTGTAGGGGTAGGGTAGGGTAGTGTAGGGTAGGGTAGGGTAGGGTAGGGGCAGCGTAGGTTAGGGGTAGGGTAGGGTAGGGTAGGGTTGTGTAGGGTAGGGTAGGATAGGGTAGGGTAGGGTAGGGTAGGGTAGGGTAGGGGTAGGGTAGGGGTAGGGTAGGGTAGGGTAGTGTAAGGGTAGGGTAGGGTAGGGTAGGGTAGGGTAGGGTAGTGTAAGTGTAGGGTAGGGCAGGGTAGGGATTGTAGGGTAGGGTAGGGTAGGGGATTGTAGGGTAGGGTAGGGTAGGGTAGGGTAGGGTAGGGGTAGGGTAGGGTAGTGTAGGGGTAGGGTAGTGTAGGGTAGGCCTAGGGTAGGGTTGTGTAGGGTAGGTTAGGGTAGGATAGGTAGGGTAGGTTAGGGTAGTGTAGGGGAAGGGGTAGGGTAGGGTAGGGTAGGGTAGGGTAGGGTAGGGTAGGGTTGAATTGAGGAACATCCTAACTTACAAAGGGCTCGAACAACTCGCATGCATCACCATCATACTTTACAGTTCAATTAAAAACAACTACCCAAATCTACCCAAATAATACAGCTAAAAATACAAGTCAAACACCCAAACTAATGCACCCGTAACATAACATAAATCAAAACATACAGTTATCGAGTAAACCTGTACCTCTAGTTTGGATTAAATCATTGATCGTCGTAAGACCTGTGTTTTTAAAAGGTTATGAGCTAAATTTTCCTCTTCGGCTTAACAGTGTTATGACGAAATACAGGCAATGGTTTAGCTGAATTCAAATGGTGCTAAAAATGAAATTAAATAATCTTTGAGGTGGTAATTTAATTATATTTCTTATGTACATATATTAGGTGTTTGTTTAATTCTTGCACGGCAATGTCAAATCGGTTGAATTCCTGGAGTAAAAAATTAGCAATCTCTCAATACCGTTGCAACACTTACTGCATTTGCTGGATAAATATAACTGTTACTTGTTGCGTCAAGCATCGCGAACAGTCGGCTGAAATCTTTAGGGGCTAAGTTATGCCTTATTCCATAAATTTCGTACGAAAGATCTCTCTGCGTACGAGGACTAGAAATAGTCGGGATCTGATTTTTCTTTTTTTTTCTTTTTTTATACGTGTTCTGGTAGTTCATGCACTCAGTACTTTGTTCATCGTTCGTATTTCTTCGACCTTTCTTATCATTCTTCGTTATCTTTGATCTACGCCTGCTCATGAAATATTCAGTAGCCTTCTTTGGCCGTCTTTGGTTTCTTTGGTCTTCGGTGATTTTCTTTTCTCAATATGAGTAAATGGCTTTGTATTTGAAACAGGGAAACATTTGATATTTCAAATGTTGAAGTTTTTTTGCGCTTTGATATCATTTAGTTCCGGTAGAGAAAATTAGCGTTTATTTGATAAACCACACACTTCTTTGAGCACTTCCTATAATGCATAATCGTTTGGCCATTAGTTTTTTGTCTTTCTTTTTGCTTCCATAAAGTTAACTTTATCTATGTCAATATCTTTCTCGCACTATCTGTCTCTATCCATCTTCTTCGGTGTCTTGTTCTAATGTCCTGCATTGTAAAGGGATATTAAAAGTGATGTTTCATGAAGTAGCTAATTACCTACTTCTTCGACTGTTTTGTTTCAGTGGGATCTAGTTAACCAACGATGCCTTGGGTTTGATATTAGTTGGTTCATAGCTATAAGCTTATGCTTCTATTGAACTATTGCAAGTTTGCTAACTCACGTCCCATGTATAATCTGAGCGCTGTTGGTACTAACGCCCCTGCACTCACCCCGGCGTGCCTTTGTGTAAGCGAGTGCCGTGGTGCCGGACAGCCGTGTGTATACCGTAGTGTGTCTGTTGTTCGCCCACAAGCAACTGGACTGCGTGTCGACGGAGGATGGCCCGTCGGACGCCCAGTTCGGCGTGGTCACGGTACCGGCGCGCAACCCCGCGCTCGCTCAGGTACGCTCCCCTCCATCCCTCTCTCCCTCCCTCCCTTCCCCTCCATGACTCTCTCCCGCCCTCCTGCACCTCGCCGGTTTCATTGCTCCGTCTTTCTCCCTCCCTTTCCTCCTTTCTCCTTCATTCATATGTTCTCTCCCAGCCCTTATTCTGACCCTGGGACTCCCTAACCCCATGCCGTGTTTTTTTTTGGGGGGGGGGGGGGATTCGCTCATCGATATGCCCCTGGTCGGTCCGTTTCATTGCTAGCTGTGCCGCCGACGCTGCCCCGGCCTTCTCCGTTCTGATTCTGTATCGGTTGCATACGAGACTACGGTATTGTCCGGCAGCCATCCACCAGCCCCTGCTGGGCAAGCTCACGGCCAATTGGCCATGAACCCGCCTGTCGTCTCCTTCATTTCAGCCCTCTGTTTGCTGTCATTTAATCCGTCTTCCACACGCTTACATAATATTTTACCCACTATTTCCTCTGTGCTAACTCTCAGTCCGCTATTTTTGTCATTTGACTCCGTCTCTCGTTTCAACCGATAGTCATTTCACCCTCTGTCAATGCATAATTAGCAGCCTACCTTAATCATCTCACCGTTTACCACGTCATGTCATCCGCATGTTACCTCTCATGCGTCCTCTCCCCATCCTCCCCCATTTTTTCCTCGCTGAACAGTCGTAATGCGGGTAATACCACACCGGCTAAAGCATACTGACAGCCGTCCGCTTGTAGCTGCGCTGGTGTATGTATGTACAGTCTGTCTTAAAAGTACCGCGCAAAGTGGCGGTGGATCCATCAAGCCTGACCGAGAAAGGGCCTGTTTTAATTTAAAAGTCACTGATCAATTTACCTAGGGAATGGACAAGGATGTCAATTGCTTCGGTGACCCAAATTTAGCAGGCCCTTGCTCAATCAGGCTCGATGGATCCACCGTCACTTTGCGCGGTACTTTTAAGACAGACTGTACAGTGGGTCTATTTAAGATCTCCAGAGCCACCACGTGGCGCTACGGTCGGGGTAGGGCGAGTCCAAATCCCGAGGGAAGTGAGGTCACCGGTCATTGTGGGGGAAGGAGGGAGGGGGAGTGAAGCGGTATCACGGCGCATGGGGCGTGCGTAGCGCCGGGAGTGGGCCGCCCAGGGCCGCCCGCCACTGCGCCGAGGCTGAGGGGAGGGGATGATGGTTGCGGGTGCGTTCACTCCGGTATGGTGGTATCCTGTTCATGTGGAGCCGGCAAAAATGCGACTGAAGGGAATAATTATCTCAAACAAACGGGCAAGCCAGAGGCAGCGTTAGTTCCCTGTTTCAGCCTAAATGTTGGACAATGACAATTGAAATCTAGGACGTATTCACAGCATGCAACTATTCAGTCGATAGTTGCATGATGCTTTTCATGATGCATGATGAGGCTTTTCTGAACTGTTATTTGAGTTAGATATTTTTCATTTGGCACGTTCAGTTTTGGTGGGTTTTATCAGGTCGAAAAGAATCAGAAAAGAAAAAAGAGTTGAAATGGCTCCAGACAAATTACCAAAAATATTTTCTTAAAAAAATGAAACTTAGCTCAAAATTTATAACCCATAATTTTGACTTTTGGAGAGGATATTGGGGAAAGATGCCATCGTGCTTATCTGTGTTGCAGTAGAAGGAAAGGTTTTGGTTCGTGTCTAGATAAAACCAGACCCGGGAGTGGGGCTCGAACTCACGACAGATCGCTGATCGCATTCAGCTCAAGGTTACCCAACGTCAACGCTACGAGCACCTATCCGGCCCTGCGCAGCTTGCTCAGTGTTTCGGCTAAAGTTCGACCAAAGTGTATGTGTCTGACGTCTGTGAATGTCACGAGGCGAAACCCCAAGGTAAATGTCCGTTCCGGTAGCTCGGTCGGTAGAGCGTTGGACTCCATGTGACATGGGGTGAGAGCGCACGTCCCGGTTGCAAAAGTCCGGGTTCGAAACGCGACGTGTGCTTGACGTTTTTGAGTCTCCTGACGGGTATGGCTGTGGTTGGTGGCAGGCCGCTGCCAGGCGAAGTCAGTGAGGGGACCGGCCGTGCGCGGCTATGTGCGCACGTTAAAATTTGGACTCTAAATTCTGCCATAAACCAGGAATTGCTTGATCGGAGAGCAGAGAGCAGGGTCAACGCAACAAGCTAAGCTTAGCGGGGACTTTGTCCTTGTGAGTCCTTTCATTCAAAAGGTTCGGACCAAAATTATATTAAAAAAGGGGGAGCCGAACCAGGTTGGGCCGGGTTGAACCCGGTTGGACCGGTGTCTTACACGCAATCATGGTCAGACAAAACAGAGGCTTATTTCGGTTCAAATATTTTTACTAACTGATCTTATTGTTTTTAGCTTACACGTATAATAACTTTTAGCTTTTTTTAACTCGAGACTTCATGCAAAAAATGTGGCATTCGTCCACTTTTCCTCATCGTCTCTTAACGACAATTGATTTGACATCAAAGAATATGTGATGTCAAATCAACCTTACCAGCAAAAAAAAAAAAAAAATCACCTGCGTGATAATTATTTGCCTACGCAAGAAACGCCAGCCGGTCAAAAAACTGTCGAGCGATACGATCTTTTTATTGTTTGAATTATATTCAATGAAAATTTCAGGAGACAATAAATAATCTAAAATCTTAATCCTTATAGCTACTGGGCGCTGCGCCCGGAGCATTCGCTAGCATTCCATTGCTAGCTGCATTACCAACATCACATTTGCATTACTTTGGGTTCATCATAATTGACAATCGACAATTGACAGTAGATAAACCGGCCACAGCAAACCCATGCCTCATTATCCTTTCCTTCCAAGCAGCCAACTGCCAAGCTAACCGGCCGCCCAGCCCACCACCGCGACATGGAACAACGCTGGAGTGCGCCATTTGCCTGCGGCAGTGCCCCACCGCGCCGGGGCTGTTTGACAGGTCATCCGCACCGTGACCTCGCCACCCGCCCCCCCCCCCCGCCCCGCCCTCCTCCCCATCGGGCCCAGCTCGGTAGTGACCTCTCCTTGAATCTCACATGGACTCGACTGAGGCTCAACGCCATCTAGTTACGTCTGGAGATCCTTACTAGATCCACTGTACGTACGCCAGTGTTGCCTCCGGAGTCGTCTGTGGGAATCCATTAATGGGGCAGACTGCTGCAAGGCGACGGCTGGCGATGCCCGTTGTATCCGCTGTATCCGAGTTGTGTCCGAGGCTGATCCGCTTGCATAGCTGCAGGCGCAGGCGCTTCTGAAGAGGGCGTTGCGGATTTTGTATTTGTCCGCAGTTCCGCGTGCTCGTTTATCGCCGATCTGTTGCGTCGTTCGCTTTTTCGCTACTGATTCGCATTCGCTTTTATTTGTTGTTTTAGTAACGCTTGCGAATGTATATCGATGATGTGCTACTTCTTTACCATTTTTTCGTAATCTGTTTTCATTCCGTCTTCCGCTCAGTTTCAGCTTTTAGTGTGGGATGCGTCAATTCACGGAAATTTTGAGTGCTTTTTAAGAAAGCCAAGAACAACGTACTCGTTGTTATGTTTTTGGTTTCGCCTTGGCAACAAATGATCTTCCCGATGATCCGTCCTGATATTTTGTTGTGTCTGCTTTATATCCACATTCCACGACACTGAAAATGTTTTTCCTTGTCTTGCAAATGTCATTTTCGTCTTACCGCTAATAATTTATGGAAATAGTGTTTTTAATTAGCTGTTTGATTTTGCCCTATTATCGATAAGAATAAGATGAATAATAATGGCTGATATAGAACTCCGTTATTTTCTGCGTCATCGTTTTTGCTGCGTGGCTGTTATGATCTGACGTGTGACATTTGATATCCTTCCTTCGAGTAACGAGCGAGTTGTCATCTCGCCGGCTTACGCTCTTCATCAATTGCATCGTTCACGCCTGACTTTTGCAATCTTCGTCAGTGCATGACATTCAGTTCTTAGTTCCAAATCAAGTTCATGTGTCGGACACTGCCTCACCGATACCTGACCGTGAGGCGTGCTGACCTGAGCTGACCTGCTGCAGAGAGCAGAGACGCCGGACGGCAGCCTGGGTGGCTCGGCTCGGGGCTCGACTGACGGCGTCGCCGACTCGGACTCTCTGGCTGTCTCCGAGGAGGAGATGCGTCTTCTCGAGCCTGGTATGTGTTGGACACGGGTAATCAAATCGGAACACTGTTCGGTCACCGTTTTTTTTTTTATCAGCATGCTGAAAGTTTTGTCAGATATTGAAGCTTCTTGCTGGCGTTTCTCGGCTTGTTATAACCGAACCACGCACATCTACTTAGCAGGCTGGTAGCATATCGTTAGATGGCGACCGAACATCGCTGGAGTATTAGTGGGCCACGAGACCTTCTCAGCCGTGGTATGTGCGGGTCACTGCCGGCGGGAGATGTGTGATGCGCACTTCGCACATCGCCATAATGCGCTAACGTAGTTCGTGTTTGGTTGTTTCAGATCCCGTCTCGCTGAACGAATACTACAATATCACCGAGACCGTCGAGATGGGCAAAATGGCCTCCTTTTTCTTCTCCAGATGTAAGTCGGACAAATCGTTAGCCCATCGCCTAATGTGACTGTTTTCGGCACCCAACCCGTATAACGTTGATTCATTGATATCCGGAAATAATACAGTGAATCACGTAGCTTGGAATGCACCAGTGCTAACTAAGCGACCTTTGAGTGTCGCTCTTCCATACGAGCATCAGCATTTTGGAACGGGCTCCCAATTCTGGTTACACGTGCCTGATGTCATGCTATTCCGCTTTCAGTCGGCGTCAACGTGTTCTACGTGATGATTGCGATGTACCTGTACGGCGATCTGGCCATCTACGCTGCCGCCGTGGCCAAGTCGCTGCGAGATGTCGGATGGTCAGTAGCAAGGACGGTCATGATTGGTAGGACTTGCTTTGAATAATCATCGGGTTCTCTCTGTCCGGCCCTTGATGTCGTTTCCGGTCCCGGTAGAGCTTCATGCGTTTGTACTTTTTTTATAAATTTTTGTCTGAACCTTTGGATATGATTCACAAGGACAGAGCCACCGCTAAGTGAAGCTTGTTGCGGTGACCCTGCCCTCTACCCTCCGATCGTGCAATTCCAGTTCTATGGCAGAATTTAAAGTCCAAAATTTAACGTGCGCACATAGCCGCGCACGGCTGGTCCCCTCACTGACTTCGCTGACTACGGCCTGCCACCAACTGCAATCTTTCCTGTCAGGAGGCCCATAAATGTCAAGCGCCCGTCGCGCTTCGAACTCGGTCTGTTATAACCGGGAACGCGTGCTGTCACTACGCGGAGTCCAACGCTCTACCGACTGAGCTACGGGACCGGATTTTAACCCGCGCCCCAGTGGCGGTCTCAGCCAACTTCGCCCTAGTGGGGGGGGGGGGGGGCATATGTTACCACCCACCTCTAACTCAAAAACTAAGAGGGCTAGAAAGACGCGGTAAAAAGCAATCGATAGCTCTCAATGCGTACGTTTGAAAGTATTTCGGTCATTTTTCATCTTAGAGCAATATTGGGGTCACTGGAGGTCATCAAAGGTCAAAATTTGCCAAATGTCTTTATATTTCTCAGAAAACATGCATCTATCTCAGGAACTATGATAGCTAGAAAAACGCATGCAAAAGCAATCGATAGCTTTTGAACTTTTGATAAGGTCATTATCAAAATTGACCTTAGGTCATCGGCTTAGCCTCCAGAGGGCAAGAAGTCCAAAATAGCTGTTTTTGCGAAATGTGTTTTTCGACAATAACTTTTGACTAAAAAAGCCACAACATTTCTATTGCTAGAATCGTGTTCCTCTCGCCGAGACGCGTCGAATGAACTATAATTTGACCTTGAAAGGTCAACTTGAAAATTTGACCTCAGGTCAAGGTCATGACCTGACCGGGAAAGGTCATGTTGCATATCATTCGATGCGTCTCAACAAGACAAACACAATGAGACCATCACCAGCGTCCTATCTCTTTCCAATCGAGAGTTATCGTCAAAAATCTGTTTGTAGCCTCAAATGACCTCGGATGACCTTTCTACAGGCTATCAGCAAAAAAAGACACATTGGTCGTCACGGGTGGTCCAAATCATTGTGATGCTGAAATATTTAGACTGTTCCTTTGCGTACACATGGATCTAGAGGCATTTTCATTTTTGTCCATTGACTTATTATGGTAAGGTCACGCCACTGACCTGACCTTAGGTCACGGATATAAAAAATCAGAGATAAATTGTAGGCGCCAATAACATCATGCAATCCACCAAGTTTAAAACCTTTCTGACAAACACTGCAGGCTGGACATGATTGCAATATGTTAACGTGACCTGGTGACCTGACCTGACATGACCTGGGGTCAAAAATTTCACAATTGTCCAAAATTGATGTACAAAAAGCTACCCCAAGCGGCGCGGCGCTACGCGCCCCGGTTTTTATTCACACGCAAAACAACGCGACAGGGTGGTAACATAGGTATGCCCCCCCCCCCCCCACTGGGGCGAAGGTTAAATTAAACCAACGTGTGTGAGTGTATACTGTTAACTTAAACATTCAAACGTTGTGTTTCAGTACCTACGTGCCGGCTAACCACACGTGTAACGCCACCATTCCACTGTCGGACCCGTGCTGGTCTGGTCTGGAGCTGACCAGATGGGACGCCTACCGCATCTTCCTGGTGAGTCAAATATAATACTTAGGTAGGCACTCCGTATTTCTGTTAAGTCAAATGGGACGCCTACCGCATATGAGTCTCAAATTGGAAACCTGTATACTCCTGGTGACTCTTAGATGGGAGGTCTGCCAAATCAAATTTCTACCGTATTTTTTCCTGATGAGTGTTAGACGGAATGGCTAACAACATTTTCCCGTGACTATATATTTCACAAATTCCAATATGTATGGGTGGCAAACCTAAGAAAGAGCGTATTTAAAGTGCAGCGGCCTGATTGATGCATGTGCATTTAATTATACTGGGAGAGCATATTTTCTCTCACAGCTTTTCACACGAATTTCTCCGAACTATACATTTCAAGTGATCAGAACACGTGTTAAGTGATTCAGGAGCTTTAACTTCGTTCTTTCTTAGGCTTGCCACTTGCCAGACTATATAGCTCTCATCTCATTTGCATTGGCTTTTGCTTTTTCTTTTCCAGGTTCATAGGAACTGGCGTTGAGATTTTGGGCGATGGATTTTGCCCATATGCTTATCCACTTTCTGGTTACTTAACACCTCCATTTTCCCGCAGAGCATATTTGTGGCGACCCTGGGGTCGTTCGTGTTCTTCAACGTGCAGAAGACCAAGTATCTTCAGGTGCTTACCACGCTGATGCGATGGGGAGGTGAGCGTTTGTTTTATTTGAAATAATTTATTCTTTTGATGGCGACCAGTTATGGTCCATAACATATTGTGCCGTCAAACCGTGCTGCACCCATAGACTGAAACTGAACAAAGAAGAATCTTTTAAGAATCCAAGTATTCCCTGGCGACAGCTTTCGACCTAAGTACTGAAGTGGCCTGTTAAATGTATTTATCATTACGCTGAATCGGAAATAACCAATCCATTTATATCCGCGTTGGATGAATGCCAGTGTCAAGATGGCTTTGTATGGGATGGGTTTTGTCAGTGTGCATGTGTGACGGTCCCCTGGTAATTAATGTAACATCTGTGGGAAGCTTTGGGTCTGGTGTTTATGCTGTGGGTTAGCCTTCGAGCTGTTGGTGGCGCCGTCATCTTTTCTGTTTGTGTGTCCATGTGACCTCTCTGTTGTCAGCAGTCAGATCGGCAGGTAGTCCTGCCGTTGTCTCTTGTCCCGGTGTCTACGTAATTATAGCCTCCATTATCTGTGTATAACATTCGGCCCGATGGTGGTGTTGTCATTATCTGCCCTGTCACTGTCAGTAGGTATGTGACGGTCTCTGTTCTCTGTCGACAGCGTTCGGTCTGATGGTGGTGCTGCCACTTTATCGTTATCGCTGTCCCTGTGTCTATTGCCTCTGTCTCTGCCCTCTGTTTTTTTTTTCCTATGAAATAGCCTCCGTTCTCGCCCGGCAGCGTTTGGTTTGATGGTGGTGCTGGCTCTGCGCCGTCTGGTGGCCGCCGGCCGGCCGCTGGGCCACCCTCCCGCGTTCCGCCCCGCCGGCCTGCCCACCCTGTTCGGCGTGTGCGTCTACTCGTTCATGTGCCACCACTCGCTACCCTCGCTCATAACGCCCATCTCCAACAAGAGTCGTATCACAGGTGAGCTGATCCGACTGGCCGGGCAGTGACGTGACGTTGACGACACTTTTCTGGTGTCCACGAGACTATGTGTTTACTTATGCGGTATGTTTCCCACTATATAACTTAATATTAGATAGCTTCATTGTCATTAACAGCGCTTACATGTATGCCGTATTCAGCTGGGTCTACGTATTGTAAATGACCCAGAATAAGCCGACTATTCCAAACTGTCTACGGTTGCTGACATTGCTCGCTGCTGTAATTGTTTATGTTCGAAACTACGCCTTTCGTCTAATATTACCCCGTCTGACCCGTTCTGCCGCTCGCTCCTACAGCGCTTCTGGCGGCTGACTACGTGCTGATCCTGGCGTTCTACCTGCTGCTGGCCTTCACTGGCATCTTCGCCTTCCCGTCGCTGTACGACTTGTACACCCTGAACTTTGTCCCCTGCGACGAGGGTCAGAGCATCGGCTGGTTCGAGGTTCGTGCTTCTTACAACACCAAGCATTATCGAAACCGCACTGATTGTTTTCATCTGAAGTAGAATTGATGTACGGTTTGTGCCCTCCCAATTGGAAATGCATTTAAGTGGCCATCATTTACTGCGCATTTGATTGCTTTTCAATGAGATATTCTCATATACCATGAGTATTATTATTAGACGAACCCGCACTGCTTCAACGTTTTTTATCGCTCTTTGTCCGCGACTCTTGGTCATTTTGCAATTCGCTGTGCCTGACCCGGCAGCCCCTGACGTCAACCTGTTCGTCCGGTTACAGCAACTGCTGGACTACTTCCTGTCCATGTTTCCGGTGTTCACGCTGTCGACCAACTTCCCCATCATTGCCATCACGCTGCGTAACAACCTGCAGACACTGTGTCTGACCGAGGGCCGGCGGCACGGCGTGTTTGTGCGCCGCTTGCTGTTCCCTCTGCTGGCCCTGCTGCCGCCCGCCGTCGTGGCGCTCGGTAAGGACGGGGATCGGCCAGCACGGGGAGAGACGAGGGGAGATGTAGCGAGAGCTGTTAACTAACGTTCAGCATCGCGTCGTATTTTTATCAGCGCTGAAATCTGTTACGGTATCCGTCGTACCGCCGTGCTGTAGTTTGCCAGTCTGCAAATGTTTAACCCTGCCATCAGGTTCCCCCATTTGAGGATTGGGCCCTTACCCATGTCCTCTGTCTGTTTCTAGGCGCCCACCTGTGCCCCAACCCTACCCCCGCGGCTGTGCTGCAGTTTCCAGGACCTCCAGCTGCTGTGCCCTAGCCCCTAGCCCTGCCGTGCTTTAGCCATGGACCTCTGTGCCCTAACCCATGTTCCCTACCACTCTGCAGTGTTCCAGGACCTGCAGATGCTGGTCGGTATCACGGGCAGCTACGCCGGCTCCGGCATCCAGTACGTGGTGCCAGCCCTGCTGGCGTTCTACTCGCGACGCACCACGCTCACCCTGATCGGAATGGGCGTGCGCAACAAGCACAGCAGCTGGTTCCAGCACACGGGCTGGGTGGTGTTCGTGCTGCTCTGGGCCGCCGTCTGCGTCATCTTTGTCACCGTCAACCACCTCGAGGACTGGTTCGGGTTCTAGACCCGCCGCCGCCGCCGTCCGGAGGGTATAGTTGAGGAATCGGGCCGGCCGGCTCAACCCCGAGGAGCTTTCAGTAAACATGGTGACAATGTATGGGGTCCTGGTTGTATTCTGCCGGATTTAGGTCGTATCACAGGATGCAGTGTTTTCGCGGATTGGGCATGCCGGGGTGAATGTCCACACCAATACTCAAATTACAAGGGTTTAGGAGTTCTAAAATGATGCCAAGGTTGGGTAATGTTTGTCCTTTGGTGGGGACTGTAGTCCAGTGCCACTGGCAACCCCTGGGGAATTCGAGCTCCTATTTATATTGGTGTTCCGGTAACGTATCTGTAGAGCGAGGCTGTTCGAGGTTAGTCACATTCCTCCTGAATACGCACGTCATGTTAACGTTCTTAGATGCCACCTGCGTCTGTTTTAATATGGCGTTATTAAGAACCGACCATAAGCGCTTTTCAAGCATAAAAGCAATGTACTGTTATACTCGTATACCTAAATGAGGCTTGCATGGGCCTCGCGTCTCATGCGCTTTATTCCATCTCTTGTGAGTTAATCAAACATTCGTTTATGCTTCCACGTATAGATGAAACTAGAATCTGTACACGAGCGTTGCATGACGTTATTGAGTTTAGTATGTGAACCAATTTGTCTGTGATGTCAACTGATTTGTCACATATTTTATGAGATTACCCTATGAGTGACGCGCTATGAAGCTACTTGCCACAATCGTTGAATACCAGCTGTTATACGAGCTAAAGGCGTGGCGTACTATTAATGTCACAGCCGCAATCTCAACTTTGTTCGTCGTACGGCATAGGACGTGCCAAGTCACACTAGTTACAAGGCTCTTAGCGTTGAATCGCCGTGCCCTGTCGTGGAACCCCTGGATGCCCGCTCCCCAGTGCTTCGCGACAGGACCGAGCTAGCTGGGCCCTGTTTTAGCGCATGATGCTACCTGACGCTACCGGGTATTGACGCTCAGTTTTCTTGGGAAGGTACGCGGAATCACATAGTTTTCCTACGTTTCCATGGAAACCGAGCGTCAATGCCTGGCATATAGCGTCAATTAGTAGCTTCATGCCGGCTGATTCAGGGCCCAGGACCACTTGGTGGTACGCGGTGCGTTGGGAGATGGCCACTAGTCATTCATGCGTGACACGGAGGGTTAGATGCCGCGGCCTTCGCTGCACAGTGCACAATTATCGGTTTGCCCCTGAACTACGGACGATATTACATTAGGTCGGAAGGCATTTGACCAAACTAGACGAACATGGGCTTAATGTGGTAGTGGATGTGGGGATGTTCTGTACACACAGAGTCGGGCATAGCTCATGACATTGCCACCTACTTCGGACTGAGTTATAACGTTCCTGGGTGTCGGACATGAGGTTTGTGTGAGTGGGTTGGTGGGCTCTGACGCCAGACAGGCCGCACAGTGCCGCCCGGTTGTCTCTGTATGTCGTGTTTTGGGCAGTGTGAACGCACATTGGTGACATTGCTGAGGGGAACTTATCCTATATCCTGTGAAGGGAGGCGAAGGAAAGGAGACCAACGGCCCTGTCTGATGTTGGATGTCCTTGCGTCACCGCCGCCGCCACTAACCAGCTCGTCGATACGCAGTGTTGTGTTGCCTCACAGGTTTTGTGCTGTTCTGCGATGGTTGAAGCGCCTGGTGACGTAAGAAATATATTGTACATGGATCTGATCGATTGTTTTGTTGAAAATGATCAGTGTAAGTGGATTTAGTTTCTCCTGAGAACCACTAGCTGCGTGCGACGCCAGAGTTAGGCGAAGCATAAACCAAGATAATAACAGCAATTTACAGTATTACGACAACGCGTTTTTGCCCGTGAGAAAAAATCGTGTTAACATTTAAAAAAGGCGAACATTTGATCGTCGCGCTAGGTTCCATTTCGGTGGGATGTGTGGTGTCGAAAGTGTTACAGACGCTAACGAGTGGAAGAGGTGCTTCTGCTTCAGTGTAAACGAACAGGTGGGCTTGGAACACTTGTTGAGCTACCATGAAACCCAACAAACAACAAAAACTGATAAATTTCATCTATTCAACTCTTCACACTCCGATCCTCGCTCACGGATAATATGTTAAACACGATCTATTTACAAGTCGGCACATAGTGACGCCAGAAACAGATCTGGGAAGCGGGCGCCGCGTAAAATCGACCGAACAAAACACTCGCGTCTGCGCAGCCGACCTTCAAACAAATTTGGTGAAACAAGAATACACATGCCGTCCTCGGCGGAAATTTCCCCATCGTTGACGCCCACACCGTTCGCGGTAGACACCTCGTGCCCCGGCCTTCGACAGCGTCTCGGGTTCGTCCGGCACCGCACCACGACACCACCAGGTCCCTCGCCCTGCTGCGAGCGCGCACCACTTAGGCCACGTACGTGTACACTTTGCGGTCCTCCTGCGTGCGAGCCAGATACTCCTTTTCGATGAGCCCCTCGATGCGCTTCTTGATGACCACCGGCGACGGCAAGAAGCGGGACTTGAGCTGCTCAGTGACCTCGGCCACGAGCACGTTGTGCTGCAGAGTGCGGCGGGCCTTCATGATACGCACCACGGCCGCCTCGATCTCGTATTTGCGGTCCTCGTCCACTTTGCTGCGTGTCTCGCGCCGCTCGGGCTCCGACTCGCCCTTCGCCACGCCCAGCTGGATCTTCACGCGATGCAGCTTTGATGTGAAGGCGTCGTTCACGCTGAAAGCATGGCTGGACTCGATCTCCTTCGTCTTGGGCTGCTTGACAAGGATGCGCTGTGTGGGCTTTCCGACAGCCAGCGACTGGAGGGCGCGCGTCAGGTCTTTTTCCGGTATGTTGGTCTCGTTACGGATCTCCTCGTAGGTCAGACGCTCACGGTTGTTGAAGAGCATGAGGATGCTCATCTGGAAGGTGGAGACCTGGATGATGTGCCGGCGGGGACTGCGCGTGCCGGCCGCCAGCAGTGCCGAGTTGGAGCCGCCAGCCACAGCCAGGTCGGTGGACGAGTCGTCCGACTTGAACGGACCGTAGAAGACGGCGTTCAGGTCCGCGGAGCCCAGCTGCGCCTGCAGCGTCAGCTGCCGCCCCGTGTGCTTGGCCAGGTAGAACTTGCGGAAGGTCTCGAAGGCGGCCGCCGGCGCTCGCGGGATCTCCACCTTGATGTTTCCAGAGTGGGTGGGCCAGAAGCCGGTGGTCAGCACCCGGACTGTCAGGTCGACGCCGAACGGGTTGGCACCACCCGACTGGATGTGCTGCTTGAACTCCTCCATGATGGTGTTCGAGACTGTGATGTCCTTGAACATGCCTTCCAGCTTGGATGTGAACTGACATCCACATTCTGTCCTTAGCTTGGAGATCATGTTCTTCTCGTTGTCATCACTTGCTGACTTGTTGAGAAGCAGCCTCTTGGCCAGGTGCTGCTTGTAGTAGCGCTCGAAGACGTCTTTTTCCTGGAGGAACCGGAAGATGACCATGGTCTTGTCCAAAATGGCCTCAATCTCCTGTTCTGTGACACCCTTAGCCCCCTTCTTCAGCCTGTCATCAATGAACAGAGACAGGTACTCAGGGGACTTGTTGTTCAGGTTCAAGAAGTACTCAAAATCTGAGGCAATGCGCTGTTTGACCATCTTGTCCTTGTTGAAAGAGTTTTTCAGGAAGTGATCAAACACATCCCTTAGGTCTAGCAGGCTCTGCACATATGTGATGGCATTCTTCCCACCATATGCAGGATCTTCTGCTACCAGTGCCCTGCCCTGTTCCCTCAGGTAGGTCGACACACAGTCAGCCAGAGTCTTCAGTCCATCTTGTACCCTAGACAAGAGCTTGTACATGCATGCCAAGTCATCTGTTTTTTGTTGTTTCAGCATGTGGACCACACCAGAGTTTTCTATCTCGACGATCGTCTTCATGTGCTTCTTGATCAGTTCCTCTTCCACCACCTCCACAATACGAGCCTCTGTTGACTCGTCAAGGTAGTGAGATGCTCGCTCTGCCTCTTCATTTATGCGTGCTTCCACTTTCCTGATGTATGCTGATGCAGAGTTTTCAGCCAGGAAGTTTTGACTCTCCATTCTGTAGAACTCAGCAGACTGCTGAAGGAATGGCCTCTCAAAGTCTTCCTCATACACAGCCCTGCTGTCCACACCAAGAACCATCAGCATGCTGCACGCATTCTTCACTGCCAACTTGTCAATCACCTCTCCACGCCTCTCTCTCATGACCATCTTAAGAAGTGTTTCCCTCAGGTGATCTCTGATGCCACCATATCTGACAATCTGGTCCCTGAACAGAATGAGTCCCAGGTTGAACACATTGTCCACATTGTTCTGCTGTACATATACTCTGTCCATGTACATGAGGATATCTCTGATCATGATCATTGATGTCTTGTGGTCATGCCACGCTTGATTGAGGGTTGCCAGGAAGTTGTTGTTCAAAGATTTTAGCACATCCCCTCTTACTTTGGTCTCCAGATGCTGAGTTACAACATCTCTCAGTCCAGTGTACAAACGCTCACCATGTTTGTGAAGAACCATGGTGTATGCATTTCTGTACAGCTCTTCAAAGCTCAACCCACTGTTGTTCTTTTTCTGGATTTCTTGGATGGCATTCTTGAGGATATTCCAGATACCCTCCACATACCTTTCATCCATGGTCATCGGAAATGCTCTGATCCGCATCTTGGCGTCTTTCTTGGGTTGTGTCCGCTGCATCACAACTGGCTGTTTTTAGTATCAGTGAATGATAAAGCACACATACACTGCTACAGACGAATCTGCCTCCAGACTCAACGCTTCCTTTCACAGACTTCTAAATGCTCGCTGTAACTTCAGTTTCTGTTTCAGTCTCATAACGAGCGCATGATAACAAACGCAAGAAGTGGAGCAGAAACTTCAGCCTTCAATAGATGAAAGTTATAAATTGTAGCTAACAAATCTAAAAAATAATATCGACTGTAACAACTCCACCTACACCACCAAATTATTACTTTTTTCGCGTTCCTCCTCCAAGGCAAGAGCGTTGTCAATTGTTAGTCGATTGTCATCCTCTGCTGGCATTGACCAAGGTTTTAACAAAACTGAAACCGCCTCTTGAAATGTAAATTACGATTAATACAAATATGAAGCCATTATTTAATTTTTTGAATTTACTCATTAATTGCTAATTTTAACATTTGTCATGAAATGATGACATTTATTTAAAAGCATGAGTATTACTTTGTAATAAATGTTTTTGGAAATATACGTCATCAAAATCTGTCAAAATTGTCTCTTATGCGCCATCTGAGGAAAAATCGCATGGCTAAGCTCAAAACATTCAAAACATTTCGAGTGTTGAGTTCGCAATGTGTTCGCAATGTGCAATGTGTTGTACCTGATCTGGTGATCTCAAATTGATGAATTGTTATTATTATTTACGATTGTGTTACAGGTACAAGACCCAGTTTCTCCTTATATTGAAATTCGAATAATAAATAATGAGTTAAGTGCATGGATCCGAGAAAATGGATCTGGGATCTGTTCCTATGGATCCTGATCTTGGATCCGACAAGATCATAGATCCAAAAACATTCTGTTTTGGTGATTTTATGTGATCACACATCATATTCCATAGTGTTGTGGCACTTATTGACTTGGAAACAATTGGAAACCTGGTTTTAAATGTTGTGCATGTCATGTGATGTCAGGATCCACTCACGTAATAGATCAATGTTCTTGCTTTATCATCAGATTGAGATCCTATGAAATCATAAATCCAGGGTAAATTTGTTGTACCCAGTGGCGTACCCAGGAATTTGCGAAGGACCAGGGCATTGGACGAGAGGGCGCCAATCAAGGAGGGCGCCAACAACAAGGAGGGCGCCACATATCTGAAACTTGAATGTGTCAGTTATGTTCGTACACGTGCGGAACGAACATAACTGACATACTGGACAGAGGGGCGCCACCCACCATCATCTAGGAGCGCGACGCTATCGATTGGAGGGGCGCCAATACTGGACAAAGGGGCGCCACCGGCCCACCATATCGTCTAGGAGGGCGCCACTATCACCAGAGGAGCGCCAATACTGGACAGAGGGGCTTCGCCATCAACTAGAAGCGCGCCGCTATCGACTGGAGGAGCGCCAACACTGGACAGAGGGGCGCCAGTCACTGAGGGCGCCGGGGACGATGAGCCAAAGGGACAGGGCATGCACGGAATGTCCTGTATGTGCGTACGCCACTGGTTGTACCTGATCTGGTGATATCATAGCTCCTAACCTGCAGTTTGCTCTGAGATTCACAGATCATAGAATATAGATCCATCGCTCAGATCCAAGAACATGTCTGAGCTTTACTACAGCCGTTCAAGTCAGTTGAGGAAACTATGAGGCGCCAAACTAAAATTGGATCAGCCAATCAACGGCTGGAGTGGGATGACCATATATGGTCATAAAATCAGAAAACTTAATCTTTTCCATGCATCCTAGCATTCAAATGAAAAAATAAGGCATAAAAATGTTTTTTAACCACACAAGGCCTACACTCACTCGGTACACAATTAAGTGGCGGCTCTAAATCGCAGAGTTTCAATGCAAGGTCAAGCAGTGATTGGCAAGTATGGCGGATTGAAACAGACACGCCAAAAAATGTAAGCAGCACCACAGTTTTAAAATGTCATTATTTCTATTATCCCAGATCCATTTTCTCGGATCCATGCACT